TCATCACAGTGGAGTCCAAAGCAGCAGTCGGTTGGACAGCCCTCTCAAGGGGGAGGGGTTCGGGGGCCAGCCGTCCCTAATAACCGAACATCACATCATTTGGGCGCATGTGTCACGTGCAGGACACGGGTCAGACGTAGGCATGCCCTGATTGGTCAGAATGCCAACCAATCCGAGTCAAGCACCTTGACTCGACGGTTCTCGCCCCCTCACGGACATTCTGGCACGACCTTGTGTCCAGCACCAGAAGCTGCGTTGGTTGGGACATGTGTTACGTATGCCTCGTTTGCCGAAGAGAGTACTGTTTTCCATGCCCAATTCGGAGTGGCGTAAATAGAGAGGTGGCCAACCCATGACCTGGCAGAGGAGTATGAAGGAGATCACGAAACGCTTGGGTGCTGTCGGTGCTACTCGCCTTCCAGGATGGGGACCGCGTGATCCTCACTGTGCCTGGTTGGAGACACTACAAGATATGGCTGCCAACCGATGTCAGTGGCGTTCTTGTTCAGTTTCTGTCCAGATTGCCTGAGTGAATGTATGGAGGTGTAGGCACCTCGGAATGATTGTGTTAAGCTAGTACTAAGTCTCTCCCCCATCCACCTTTATTCTTTTCTTTACAATAAGGCTTTCAAATAAGTCGATTGTACGGCAGTGAAGCGTCAGTGTTGAACACTGATGTCATGCTGTCGATGATGATCATGATGATGATGATGATGCTCTTTAAGGCGTGGTAAGCGCTAGCATAGTCAAAACTCGCACATCAGGTACAACGTGTCCGTCATACTGGGTCAGTTGTGAAAATCAGTGGCAAGAGTGAACACTCAGCGTCATGTACCACTCATAAAAGTGTCGTAAGTATGTAGAGAGCTCAAAGTGGCGAGTAAACACAAGTCACTTTGACCTTGGGAAGTCCCAGTCCAATGTCAGCCTTGGCAGACTGAGGAAAGCAGATCTCTCTGTATGAAATGATCATCGGTTGCTGTACTAAAAGGTCGACATCACAGTCGATTGCACATAGGGCTACTATGATGGTAAGGGAGCATTCATAAGTCATATACTTCTGCTTCTTTTTCCACACAGTCACTCCGTCTCCATCTAAGTCTGCTCATATCTATCAAAGTTGTTCAGTGCTCCAGAACAGTGATTAGGTCAGGCTTGATGAAAGACGAAGTAGGTGCTCTCAGGTCCTCGAAGATGGTGCATCCCAGGCGACGAAGACGTTTTGCGGGTTCTCTTGCAACCCGATTATGACGGCACATCTAGCATCATGCGTGATCCAGCAGGATTGCTGAGTATGCACCAAACTCTCCGGTCGACCAAAGTTTCCACGACAAGGATGTCTGGCCACCGTGACCACGTCGGAAGCTTCTACTCTCGTCCTAAGCAGGTGTCACCGGAGCTGGGTACCGCAGATAAATAACCGAGGAAACACTCGTTCTGGAAGCACAAGCCATTGATTCTCGAGAGGCGAAGTGACCAACTGTCGTAAACCGCGACCGTCAATGCTGTTGTGCAGACTATCGCGCCAAACAGCCAGAAGCTCTTCCTTGGTGTTTACGCATGCACCTTGGACTCGGATGGGAAGGCTCAAATCCAGAACAGCCTTGCCAAATGCGGAATCATTGACCACATCGCGTGGCATGCAGCATTGCCTAGAGAGCAGCTTTACCATACGCGCTGTCCGCTGCATCGGGATGGTTGTAGTCAGACTTGGGATACCAAGTCCCCGGCTTGGGTGTAGCCGATCGGTGTGCCCTTCGGTAGGCGTAGCCAGTCAGGAATAAAGTACCTGATGTAATTGTTCAACCTTTTGGGCGTGTTTCGGTGGGTCTGGCCGAACATGAGCCAATTTTAGCCTCGGTATCAAGTAGTTCCTTGTAATCTCTATTTTTTGATGCGGCTTCAATGGGGCACGCATCTCCTCATCAAGCAGTTTGGACAGCTGCAGACTCTCCGTTGTGACTCCTCACCCACTCAACCCAACTTCAGCATCTCGAATGCTCCTATTTAAGCTTGGGCAACCTGCTAGTATCCCAGCCATCGTGCATCCTCCCGTTGGCTTGGCAGCTAGGCACCCGAAGGGTGCCCCAACTGAATGATTCTTATTATTTATTCATAGATCCTTCCATGACCCATCGAGCGCAGCAAAGGCTGCATCTTTCCATCTTTGGTGGTATAGGGTCTAGATGGCGGTGTAGTTGGCCCGGCGGATCTGCTTTCGGTTGGCCCGCACACGATGGTGTCGGGAGACAGGATTCCACGCTTGTGGAGATGCCTTGGAGTGGAGGTCCAGAAGTTAGAGGACTTGCTCTGGTATCATGACACCAGACTGCTACCCCCGGACAAATGCCGGAAGAACAACATCAGTAGTTGAACTGCCGGAGTTGGATTCTAAGAGTGATACGGCGCAATCCACGGTTTGTTCAAACCAGAGGCCACAGTCACCAGCTTCTGACGAATAGGCTGCTGTTTGACCGATGGTCTGGTTAGGGCCACCAGGGGCGAGATGGCTCAAGTGGTTAGAGCGCGAATTTACTGACCGGAAGGTCCGTGGTTCGAACCCAACCTCTGCCTCTCGACCTCCCCTGTCTAGGCCTAGGAAACCTGACAGTATCCCAGTCCTCATGCTTTCTTTGGGTGACATGGCTGCTAGGTACCGGAAGAGTGTTACAGCTGAACGATACCATACCATACAGGGCCGCCAGATGATCACTCGCCCAATTGTTCGTTCCACTTAAGTACCCGTAATCTGGTTTTGATGTTGACAGCCGATCGACCAGGAAAATATTGCTCCATAAACAGCGCGGTTTGTGTGTCACAGAACGGATATAGTTTGTTAGCTTGGCACAAGAGTGATTGTGACACTTGTTATGATCAGCGGACACCGGATTTCTTCACTCGACTAAGCTTATCTGAAATTTGCTGGGTGAGGTGTGCATACAAGCTGTGTGGACTTAGACGAATATTCGTCGGAAAAAGGCGGGTACAATCATCGCAGGCCAATTGAACGACCACGTTCGCGCCAACACTTTAATGGGCGTGAACTCGATGGTGGGTCACCAAGCCGGTTTTCGATTTGAAGCACTTGCTACAGTTCTCACACGTGAGAACCACAAGTCTCTTCTGTGTACTGTTTGAAACTGGTGCAGAGGCGCCAGGTGATTCGTATTGTACATTGTCGAGAGTAAACAGCACGTTGAAGGCAGACAGGGTGGGTTGGCCCCGTCTGGAGTTGTTGAACTCTTAGCTAACCCAGACTGAATTCAAGGCTACCCAGCCGGCACCACAAAGAGGTGTTTCAGTGTGTCATTGAACTCACACCCGAGAAATGCGGTACTACCCGAACCTGCGCACTGACACAAGTTCATTCTTTCCAGAACTTTCCACAACCGAGTGTGACATAGGGTAGTGCCAAATACGACAAGGGACCACAGTCATCAGTTACAATTTTCCGTTTGGAAACAGGTTATTCATGGTCGTAACTACAATTTGTAGACTTGATCGAGTTGGGTCAGGGCAGCTTCTACCAACCTCCGAGACTTATGGCGCCTACGTGACGTGAGTTTGTTTGTTAAGGACATCGTTTACACTGCATCAGTGCGATCCATGCTGCTGCATGGATCAGAAACTTGACCTCTACGCGCAGAGCACAAAGGGAAGATGTCAGTGTTTGACCATCGGTGTCTCCGAAGCATTGGTCAAGTCTGGTGGGAACACCGGATTAGCAGTGCTGAGGTACGCCAGATGGTCTTAGGAAGAAAGCTCTCCTGCGATAGATGAATTACGCTTCATAGGTTACGCTGGTTTGGACATGTACTTTGCACGCCAGAAGAGCACCGAGATCTTTTTTCTCAACCCCGGTGCTGACTGGAAGCGACCAAGAAGTGGGCAGTGTATGACCTGGCCACGAGGTACGAAAACACTAACCAGTAAACTTAGTCGGGTCGGCAACTACCGTCTCCCTGGATTGGGGACCCCGGGAATCACCTTACCAATGATTACTGACACTGGCGTAAATGGCTAAATAGCGTAATAGCTCAATAGCGATTCCCGAACTAACTGAACATACAATCATCTCAAAGGCTCGGCTGTATGTCCCACACTGTGTCGTTTTCCGGTGATGGCAACTGTAGCAGCTGGAACCAATGGGCCTATGGTACACGGTTTATAGCCGATAAATTGATTGATTGTTATAAAAACCCTTGCCTGAATGTCCCTTTGTGAACCCCTTTTGTACGACTGACTCGGCTCCAGATGATCGTCGATTCATCTCCACACCAGAATAGCCTAGCTTTGATGCTTCCGTTTGTTATCAGTCTCCCTGGATTGGGGACCCCGGGAATCACCTTACCAATGATTACTGACACTGGCGTAAATGGCTAAATAGCGTAATAGCTCAATAGCGATTCCCGAACTAACTGAACATACAATCATCTCAAAGGCTCGGCTGTATGTCCCACACTGTGTCGTTTTCCGGTGATGGCAACTGTAGCAGCTGGAACCAATGGGCCTACGGTACACGGTTTATAGCCGATAAATTGATTGATTGTTATAAAAACCCTTGCCTGAATGTCCCTTTGTGAACCCCTTTTGTACGACTGACTCGGCTCCAGATGATCGTCGATTCATCTCCACACCAGAATAGCCTAGCTTTGATGCTTCCGTTTGTTATCACCTGAGTTCACTGACTCCGAAGCCGGTTGGATCCTCGGCATCCTGAGATCATGACAGACGAAGCATCATGCCAGGTTTGACTTACTGATTTTGCCGAACCCTACTCCGAAAACGCAACCATTCAAAAGTCTCAGCACAATCCTGACCATAAAAGCTACATTTTGTGGGTGCGGCTTGTTTAAAATAGAGCTTCGGTCCCTTGGCGATCCATTCAACAGAACATTTGATGCATTGATGTCAGTGCGCATGGTATAGGGAGTATCGCTTCTTTGGAGATCAAATCTGCTGGATGTGAATACGGCTTCGACTAAAAAAGATCTCAACCTAGACATTAGGTACGTAATATAACTTATCATTCTCCTCTCAAAAACAACTCTAACAGAGAAAGAAAGCTGTGCAACATCTATTCATGTTAATACGGATGCTCATATCGACCTGCATTTGCTTTATATTCAACTACCGAATACACCACAATTATGAGGCAGAAAGACCAGTAAACCTATCGTATAAAAGTTAGTTCGATTGATTGGAGTAATGTCCCATGATTGGGAAAGTTCAAAATAGGCTGCTGTACTTCAAATAAGATGAGAGCTCCTGTTGAAAGGTCTTCACTTGCTAGACGTTTAGTTTCTCGAGTTTTATTACCCGACAGAGCCTGT